CCCATTCACCCCATTCAGAACAACACTGGTAACACACTACACCAGGATGTATTTAACTCTTTCACAATCCACATGGTTCCCCTGCTCAAAAAGGCCAATGGTCAGGCTGTCTTAAGTTTACCAGTAAACACCGACATTTTTCAAAGAAGAAATAACCAAAATCAACTTTCTGGCATTAACTCAAGTTGCTGTGTTTGGAGGAAGAGAGTATGATCCAAAGAACACCATGGAGGTGGTAGCATTACGATTTGGGCCTGTGTTTCTGCTAAGGATACAGAACAACGTCAATGGATGCTACCCTCTAGAGCAACATCTTGGAAGCGAAGAGAACCTAGGAAGAGAATCTCTATGTATGACCAATCTTCAACCAGAACACTGAAGATCAGTCAGGCATCGGTTTTCCAGCGTTTCAGTTACCCAAAACAAACAAGAAAGGCAAAAAAGGCATTGCAAAAGGTCATGGAGTGGCCTAGCTCAGTCCTATTAAAAATCTGAGGAGGGAGCTGATGTTTTGAGGTGAAGCCAAGAAAACTAAAGGATTTAGAGGGTTTCAGCAAAGATGAGTGGGTCAAAATCCCTCCTGAGATGTGTGCAAACCTGGTGACTTATAACAACTAATTGCCCTTCCCAACAAGGATTTCTCCACCAAATGCTAAATCACGTTTTGATTGGGATCTAATACTTATTTCCTTCAATGACATGCAAATCTATTTATAACTTTAATAATATTCATTTGTCTATTCTTTTATTATTTTTGGTTGCCATGTAGGAAGAATGTGATAGAAAGAGGAACTTCTGTGTGTTTTTAACTTTTAAGTTGATCATTTACTGTAACTGATGTCATATTCTTGTCTGATGCATGAAGGGGCAGAACCCTGATATATTAAAAGCATTCTGAAGTGTATTTTTGGGCGAAGATCTACGCTGATGTGTTGCAGTGTACATCTTCAATAAAATCATTGTTTGACTGTACTCATCTGGGCCAGTGTTGGTTTGTTCTTATCCTCAATATTTAGAATTCGGGACAATATTATGTCTCTCTCCGTTACAATGAAAACATAAAAAACATAGACTTTATTTAGTTGTAAGTGTGCAAACTTACAAATTTAACAGAGAATCAAATAAATATTTTCCCCACTGTACATTCTGTTTTATAATTTAAATGAATAGTAAAAAACATTTTTATTTCTCAAATGATGATAAAACTGTTTGATATCCTGAGCTTGAGAAATGATTTGGTTAGCTTAGCTTAGCTTAGCTTAGCTTAGCTTGAAGACAAGAACATAAAGAGTACCTCTTTTCCTTTTTGGTGTAACAGCTATTTGTCCATAATTGATGTCTTCAGTTCTCACTGCCGAATAGACTACAGCTGTGTCAGTCTCTGCAGGAAAAAAACCCCACACAAATAAACAAAAATTATATTTCAGGTACAATAGTATTTTTATATAGTTTGATCATGCAGAGATTAAGTTAGATCTTCTGCAACTAGCTTCAGGTTTTCACAGTTTTTTTCTTCTTTACACCTATGCTGAGAAACAAGAATTGATTGCATTGAACTTGTAGGTGTTTGTGTGAAAAACAAGATGCACAACCACAGAGATTGCACCTTCATCTCAGTGCAGTCTGACACACTTCACCACAGAGCACCAAACAAACAAGTTCTCACAGCATGAACACTGCCATTGGACAAACCAGAACTCACTGTGGTGAAAAGTCCCTTCAGCTTCAGGCTAGAATCATCAACAGGAAGTAGGTGCTGTGGTTAAACATGCAGAACTTGCTTCATTGCATTAAAGGACATTTGGTCTCTTCATTTTGTTTCTTCAGATATGTTATGCTAACAACACATTCACCCTGCTAACAACTTGTTTGTGCCTAAACAAGACAGCAAGCACATCTGGGCATTTTGCTCACATGTTCAGTTATGCCCCAAAAAGTTGATTCTGTTCATCAGGGCGTAGCATTTTCAGTGGGAGAAGCATTTTGCCACTCATCCAAGTGGCTTCTTCAGTCTCAGCTGACTGCAGGTTTCCCCAACCTTATAAACGGTACATTTACATAATGACTTAATCTAGCCCACTGAATGAACAATGGTCTGTGAGGTCAGTTCCTTGATCATGACTGAAGAAGTTGGATGCGTTTATGTAGACGACAGTTTATGGACTTCCATTGGCTTAAAAGAGCAGTAGAGCTGAATATCATCAGCATAGAACTGGTAAGACACATCAGGGAACTGCCTAATTATAAGTCCTTAGGGTAACAGTCCCAGATCTGAACCCTGTGGGACCCCCCACATGTCAGGTTCTCAGAGTGTGACATGAACTCATTTGCAGAACACTGAAAGATCTGTTGGAAAGGTATGACTGAAACCACTTCAAAGCCAGACCGGATACACCGACTATGTCCTGGAGCCTGTTAATCAGGATGGTCAATGGTGTCAAAGGTAGATGTTAAGTCCAGCAAAACCATAACCATGGATGCTTCGGAGTCAGCTGACAGCATAATGTCACTAGTGACCGTAATTAATGCGGTTTCTGTTGAGTGACATTTACAGAAACCAGACTGAAATTATTCATATATTTCATGCATTTCTAAAAAAGCAGTAAGTTGATCTGCAACTGTTTTTTTTTTTTTCTTTTAGAATTTTTTTTTTTAGAATTTTTGACAGTAATGGGAGCTTAGAGATAGGCCTATTGTTCTTAAACTGTATTGGATCAAAACTGCTCTTTATTAATATCGGCTCAACAACAGCATGTTTACAGATCCTAGGAACCACCCATGTTAAAAGAGAGACATTGCATATCTCTACAATAGAGGGGCCAATGACAGAGAGAACACTTTTAAACAGCCCAGTAGGTAGAATGTCATTTGGACAAGTGGTAATTCTCATTTCATCCAGCAAGAGTGAAAGGTCATGTATGGTCATTGGGTTAAACACTGACAGTAAATGAGGGGGAGGTGGACCAGAGACACAAACAGACGGTATTGAAGAACCAATGCTCATACGGATATCATTAACTTTATCCACAAAGAAGTTTAGAAAGTAATCACTCTCAGATATAGAGGACATGGGTACTGGGTGGACCAGGGGTAAAACAATAGAGTTTATGGTTTCGAACAGTACTTTGGAATTTCTCTTATTTGATGAGATCAACCAAGAAACATATCCTGATTCGGCTAAATTTATGGTTTCGTGCACGGAAACCTAACGTTCCCTAAGGTGGAGCATGTGAACTTCAAGTTTAGTTGATTTCCACAGGCGTTCTGTTTTCCTACAGATTCTTTTGACTTTCTTATGTCATTTGTTTATCCACAGATGAGCTCTTTTCGGGGCAGCAATGACAGTTTTCAAAGGTGACCACACAGGACACAGCCTGGACAGAGTGCCAGGGCAACTTGTTACCTTGTGGGAACAATTTATCTTCTGTGTGCAAAAATAATTAGCTGGCTATTTATAATTTCTAAACTCCATCTAACTAGCCAAATCACAAAAATGATCATAGGACTCAATATTCCCATTGGCTGTTTGCTAATTAGTAACTGTTAGCTTGCTACTTTACATTGTGAGTATAATTAGCTGACCTGCTATCCGTTACTGCATTAGCATTCTCATGTTAGCCTATAGCTTAACTTCTGTCCACAAAAGAGAACCATGATGGAGACAAGGAAGAGCAGCTGTACCTCTCGGCTTTGTTCTGTTTTTCTTCTCTTTGATGATGATTTGTCCATAACTGACGTCTGTAGTTTTCACTGCTGAGTAAACGGCAGCTGGATCAGTCTCTACATAATAAAATACGCACAGAGGACATCAGTGCAGGCAGAACAGCTGAAAGCAGAGCATTTAAATACAAATACTACTGTAGAAATCTTCACTAAAAAAAACTTGTTCATTTTCAATTCAAACAACAGAAGTTAAAAATCACCTTTACTTTAACAACTTGACTGCACATTGACAGAAGGACTGTATCTGGTGAGGTTGCCACAAAAACAACAAAATATAAAAAAAATTCTTGTTCTGTTTTTAAATTTAACACCTAAATCTAACACCATCTAAGGTGACACTTCTTTTTCATCTCATACAGGATGCTGGATGACTGCAGAGCTGTTAGCTTCAGTTAACCACAGACCACAAGTACACAATCCAGCACACACAACAACAGACTCTGAGTCTTTTAGATTTAGACAAATAAATGTGAATGTTTATTACTGTCAATAATTTCAGTGAAATTGTAATAAAGTAATTTCAAATCTCAAATCAGTAAAATGTTTGTTTTCTTGTCACAGCTATACACATTTTTCTGACCATCTCTCAAATGCTTCATAAAGCTTTCAGTCATATATATATATAAATCAGTGTTAATCACAGTCAGAAACAATCAGCAAACTAACACCAAGTGAAACTCTTGGAGAGGTAAAGGTCAGAGAACATGTCATGGGGTTTTGAATTTTGTGAGTTTGATATTTATTATAGCTTTGTAAAGTAAACTATGTTCTTTAAGTCTTTTAGTATTTATACTTTTGAGTATAATATTATTTTCTAGTTAATCTGATTTTTTTGATATCTATGTTTCTAATTCTTTGTTAATTAAATAGTGTTAGTTCCATTTCATGTCCACTGTCTCTTAGCGTATCTGTGTTTGTTTACTGTTGATCTGTGTCTAGTGTGAATCTAGTTTGGTGGTTTTAGTGTCAGTTTCCTGTTTTATTTGCAAACCTTTTGTCTTGTGTGTGTTGTGTTCAGTTTGTTTCTCCCTGTCAGATTACTTAGATTCAGTTCACCTGTGTCTCATTTTGCTCCCAGGTGTGTCCTGATCTCTCTTCTGTGTATTTATATACTGTCTTCCCTCTAGTCATTGCCATATCACACTGTTACCATCATTCTATTACTGTCATACTGTTTCCCTTTCTCCATGTCCTAGTGAGTTTTTTTAAGCAGTTTTCTATTTATGTTTCATAAATTTAATAAAGGGTGTGTAACCACTCAGCAGCTTTGTGGATTACATCTCTGGGGAAGTTATTTTGAAGCTCCCGTCTATGCATATACAAAGAGAATACAGACAGAACTTTATTTTCAATAAGACACATAAACTGCATGTCCAAAATCCCCAGTTGTGGAATTTGCTACAAAAAAGGTCTATAGAGATTGAAAATGTGACGTCATTCAGGGGTAAAACCGCAAAGGATTCTGGGAACTCATGGCAAGAGGTACTAGCGCACGCAGGCGTTCAATTTAAATCTGTTACACAGCGATAAAAAGAAACACAAAAACTGTCAAGAAGCTGTTGTATTATTAACTGCAATAGCCGGTCGCATGACAGCCACGGGAAGCCGACGGGTAAAGAGATCGGTTGTTATCGGATTACGTCATTGAAGAGAAATTGTTCGAGCCATGTTTCCAAAGTAACAAAGAGGCTTGTTGCAGTGACCTGAAGTTACTAAACTTCATGAGTGTATGCAGTCACTCCAAGAACCATATAATAATAAATATGAGCGTGGTAAAAGTTAGGCAGCACGCTAACGTATTTTGTCCACTCTGTGTGCTCGTAAGGGTCTAAACCTTTCACTCGTTTGATTTTTTTCTTTTCTTTGACTTTTCATCAAGTCTGTCTTTGTACGGACCGGCATTGTTCTCCTTCGTTTTGTACATAACTTTTTGGGGGGCAAAGAAAAAGCAAGAAGGTATTGGAACCGGAGAATGAACGTTTTGTGGTGCTGCAAATGCTTGCATTTGATGCGGTACTTGGATTGTTTTGCCACGAGTTACCGGCATGCAATGCGCGAAAGTCACGTGGTCTGTCAATCTCTATACTCTACAGAATACTACAGCGAAGTCAAATTAGATGATATCACACCAGGACTGCAGTTCCTCTAATGTCCACAGCAAAATACTGTTTTGGTTTTTGTTTCTTTTGATTTATCTTTTCATAACAATTGAAAAGAGTATGCGTATGTGTGTGTATTTGAACCTCTGAAATTATTTGTGATTTTTACTTATTTGATTTTTTTATTCTAATTACAGCTATTAAAATGTTATTATGCACTAAAGTCTGCATTATTAGACCTATAGCTGTTAGAGGGCTGCTGTGCATCACCTCAGCTAATTAGTCATTCAACTAGAAATCTGAATGATATTTATAGAGTTAGAGCCTTTTGGAGCATTATTAATGGAGTTATCTGATCAGTAATCAGGCTGCTGTTGATCCAACAAAGTTGTTTTACAGTTTTGATGAAAGTTCTAGGATTTTATTTGCATGCTAGTATTCGGATCTAATAAAAACACGTTTTAAGCAATTAATCAAAAAGAAATTACCTCTGTTTTGCTTGGTTGGCTGTTTACAATGTGATATTTTAACATCACTGTATGCGATAGCATCTTCTGCATCTTCGTTTTGTTCAGCTGAAATGATCCATATTTATCAGCAAAATAATTAGTATGAATTCTGTAATTGAATTTTAAATGTAAGAAAAAATAAATGGATTTCGAAATTTGTAACAAATTGTCAAATTAGTCTAAATACAAAACAAATTTAATAACCTTCCCTAAAACGAAATCACACATGTAAAATCCAGACGTCCAAGTCTCACCTTCAGGTTTCCTGTGAACACATCGTCTCACCAGCAGAACCAGTAACACCAGTAGAACCACAACACAGACTGATCCAACAGATGACAACACAGAGAGAGAGAGTGATGGAGGAAGAGTGATGGTGGTGGAACCAGGTGGAGGTGTGGTGGTGTTTCTCTCTAAAATAAAGCAAACACAGTCATTAAGTTGTCGTCACATTGTGAATGTTGAAAGCTTCAGAAACACAGAGAGGTGAGTGTGTCACCTGTGACAGTGATCCAGCTGGATGGAGACTCTCCATGACCGCTGATGTCACACTTGTAGAGGCCTTCATCAGACCTGGAAACATGCTGGATGGTCATGTGACCTGTAGGCTGCTTCCTGATGAGGCAGCCATCTTTATAGAAAGCAGCTGGGAGGTTGGAGGGAGTGGTCTTTGTTTTACAGAGCAGAGTGACGTCATCTCCCTCCATCACAGGGAGGACAGGACTCTGCAGGATCACTGATCCACCTCAACACAGAGACAAACTACAGCATTTCATCCATTTACACACAGCTTCATCAACACTAACTCCACACACTCAGCTTACCAGTGACTGTCAGGTTAACCATGTTACTGATGGGACCCTCTCTGGACTCACACCAGTAAACTCCACTGTCAGAATGGAAAATGTAGCTCATGTTACAGGAAGAACCAGCTGGTATTCCCCATGCATCTTTGCACTGAGTCCTCTGTCGTGTGCTTGTGTTTCTCCTCAGAGTCCATCCAGCAGAGCTGTCGTCCTCCTCACAGCTCAGAGTCACAAAGTCTCCTTCAAAGAACTGAGAGCTGCTGGGACTCACAGTCAGACGAACTGTGAGGGTTAAAATGAAAAACTGATGATCTGTTTACTTTTTTCAAAACCAACACAGTGACCTAAAAATGGTTTAATCCTTGATTTCCTCAGTTTTCTATGTGAGCTCCATTTTGAAACATGAACCCAAGCAGGTCATATCAGTGATGGGAATAACGGCGTTACTTTTTTTCAGTAACGAGTAATCTAACTAATTACTATTTATATCGTTACAACTCTGTTACCGTTACTAACAAGAAAATGTCCGTTACTTTTTTTCAACAAACAGACGGTTGAAGCTGTGTTCAGCTTACCGCATCTTAGTTGCACGGAAGTAGCTGTAACTATGTAAGTAATCTGGACGCTACAGCTTTAGTGCTGCTGTTTGACTGAGGAAGAGTAAAGTAATCGTGGTAAGCCAGTCACATGACTACTTAAAGACAAAGATAAATAAGTTTATAAATTGTGTTGATAGGCCACGTAAAACCAGAGTCATGATAAACAATATATACGCGGTGTTTTTTCCTGAATAGTTTTGTCACGTTTACTGTCTAAGGACAGCGCAGCGAGCACTCTCTGCTTATGAGCAAAAGACACCTAGTTTTGTGTTGTGTGTAAGAACAATAAGGCGACTGCTGTCTCCGGATAGAAACAGGAGTGATACACCTGCAGGTATCAGGCTGTGATGTTCTCCTTTATAGTGGACAGAAATATTTGGAGTGGCACAAATAATTTGTGTGGCATCTTATTGAATGCAAAACTTTTTCTACTCGGATTTTATGTTTTTTTAAATTTGTAATTATATTAATTGTGTTAATACAGTATGTCAAAATGAAAATATAACTGTAAATTCAGACACGTGAGGTTGTGCTGAAAAGGATGAAACCAAACAAGGCAAAGTAAATAGTTTTTAAAGGTAAAATGTAGGTAAAATCAAAAGTAGTTAAAAATGGCCAATTATACCCTCAGGGTTAATTTTTTTTAAAGTAACGCAATAGTTACTTTTCAAGTAATTAATTACTTTTAGAATCTTATAACTCAGTTACTAACTCAATTACTTTTTTGAAGAAGTAACTACTAACTATAACTAATTACCTTTTCAAAGTAACTTTCCCAGCACTGGTAACCATTTCTCAGGTTTAAACTGTGACAGAAGAAGGTTACTGACCTTGGTTTGTTGT